TTGAAGAAAACATTTTGAAAATACGTATTTTGCATTTAGCATTTAAAATACAAAAGGAAAATCTATTTTGTGTTTTACATTTGAAATAGCAAATCAATAAAGTATTTACACTTTATATTTAAATACTTTTAAAAAAACCATTTTGCACATCCATAGTAACATATAATTTAGGAAACTGCTGATTTCACAAACTATGCAACAAAAGTGTCAATTTGTTGAACTCAGTTGATGACTGCCTAATTATTCATGAAATTGACCGAATTAAATCTACTCCAAGACCTTCAAAATTACTGTGGAGAGAGATTAGAATAGATTATAATATTGTCTGGTTTTGATATCTATTTCAAGGATTAGGCAGCAGTTTGTTGAGCTCACAAAATAGGCAGCTTTGCTGCCAGTAATTTCACAAACAGTAAACTGTGTGGTATCGTGGAACATCCGGTAAGAACGGGTATAAAGTCTGTATTTATATTTGTTTAAATACTTTATTTCACCACATGAATCATCGGGGAAATATAAGGATATCTAGGTAAAAAAGCTAGGGAATAAGTTAAAAATCATCCAAATGCAAATAGAACTACTTTAAATAAATCACATCTGCAGTAGGATCATCCAACTTTAGTAACTCTGTAAATTTTGTATTAGGTATGTTATTAAAAATAATGTTTTGAATCATGCTATGCTTTCAGAAATTGTGTACAATTTGACGTAGTATGTACTTGTGTCTCTATAACCACTGTCACAGAAACACATTATTTAACCGAGAGTAGAATTGGAAACCGGCGCGACGCTCACCGTCCAGCAGCATTCACTCATTTGAATTGCTAACTGTTATGTGAGGCAAATGTAGATGAGCTTGATTTTATTACGGTTTTGTTTCAAACTCTCTCTTTGTTCTATCCTGAACGAAGAAGTTTATACAGTAGCAGCAGGCCGGTGAGTTTATATGACCAGAAAACCTTTTGATGTTTACCGTAGTCCGTTTTACCTCCCATCGGGTCACTAAACGCATGAAACAAACTTTGCTACATGAGATTAGAGGAATGCAGATGCAATATAAATTTCTGGATAGATATACAAAATATAGAGGCAATTCTCCCTCTTATTGCATTTGTTTCTCTACAACATACAATAATTAAGTGCAATCTTGTATCGGAACGATTTGATTATAGGCGATCAAAGCGCAAGCCGATCAAAAAGTCTGTTCTACTGCTGTATGTGAAGCAGATTTGATTTACCATAAACATGAATCACTTGATATTTCGTTCTTTGATAGAGATTTACGAATTGTAGGTATAAATCTACTGAATCTTGCTGCTTAGCTCCATTCATAAAAGAATTGATGGAATCCTACCTCTACACGTTACAGGAATTTAATGTTAATACTTAATTATAACTAAATCTAATCTTACTAAATATACAGGGAGGCCAAAATTTACGTTACATTAGAGGTGATACAGGAAATTAGAACTCAGACTTACATACAGACTTTTATTTCTAATAAGTAATGTTCAATATTTATAAACAATCATCTCTAAATGCTTTCAAGATATTAAAGTTGAATATGTCTATATTGTTTTAAATATAAGTAGATATTGTATATTCTTCTAGATAAAAGGTATCCGATGTCCTTTTCTGTACCCCTGACAACGTACCTACAAAATTTCATGATGATAGATCGAGTGATTAAGGCTTGAAATCGACCACGCAAAACTAATTTTCCCATCCGTCGGGAACAGTATTTTTTTTTTGGACAAAAGGTACCCTATGTTCTTTTGTGTACCCCTAACAATGTGTCTACAAAATTTCATGATGATCAGTTGAGTAGTCAAGGCACGAAAAGCCGACAAACAAATACTCACATTCGCATTTATAATATTACTTAAGATGAAATACTTTCAAGATTTTTTTTTTCTTTTTGCTTAATGAAGGTTAACATCCAATAATTTAATTAAATATTAACTCTGCCGATTATCTCAAACTAATGAGAAAAAATTGTTGTTGCTGTCAGATCCTCGCCGAGCATCGAACACGAGACCTTCG